ATAGAAAAACTAAGAAAACAGTATCAGAAAACAGCGAGGGTGATATTTCTTAGACAAAAGTAAGAACAGGAATGAAGGAGTTGAAGAAAACCCCAAACCGCAGAGGCTTTGATTCAAGAGTTAGAAAAGTATTCAAAGCTGAACACAGTTAGACTTTTTGAGACAGGGCTTCAGCCGCCTGTCTCACCACACATGTTGAGCCAAACAGTTTATTATGATGACATCTTTAATGCTCATTGGAGGTGAAACACCCACTGGTTTGGCATGGCTAAAGAATGCTTTCATAAGCCACTGCAAAAGAGGCATTTGAAGAATAAAAGCACAGTGAGTCGTGCTCAGTACAGTTCCTCTACATGCTGCTTTGAACTTGGCCGGGCCAGGTTGGCGTCTTGATCAGATAGATGAACCAGCAGCACTGCCCTGCTAGCTTTAACGAGCTGATAGGCAAATCCCTTCCTGGTTAAAGATTAACTACTCGCCAGAGCCGCCACCGTATTATCTCCCCACTGACCGGGCCATACAGGAGCCAAGAGGATTTACTTTGTGTGTGTGTGTGTGTGTGTGTGTGCGCATGTGGGTGAGCAACAGAGAGAGAAAGAGTAATCTGCATTCCAACCAGAAAAGGGTGGAACTGTTTGTGTGTGTATGTGTGTGTGTTTGTTTGACTATGGGAGTTAGTGATCAGCTTTACTCCCAGCGGGGTGTTAAAACTGTGTGTTTACTGTATGCCATTTAGCAGTCAATCTGCTCTGTGTGTGTGTGTGTGTGTGTGTGTGTGTGTGTGTGTGTGTGTGTGTGTGTGTGTGTGTGTGTGTGTGTGTGTGTGTGTGTGTGTGTGTGTGTGTGTGTGTGTGTGTGTGTGTGTGTGTGTGTGTGTGTGTGTTTGGGTGGGATCATGTTTGTGTGTGGTTTTGATGTGATCTACATTCCTTTTTTCTTTTTTTTTGTCGGCGCTTTGTTTTGTTTCCCCTTAGGGCGTAACAGCATTTAAAGGGTTAATTGCATGAGGAAGAGCGATGTGTAACAGACTCTTTTAACCCTTAGGTTGTCAGAGGAAAAATGTTTTAAACTCTTTCAACAGTGCCAAAAAATCTAATTTATTTATACCTCCTCAGACCTTTAGGCATTAAGGTCTTAACCCTGCCAGTGGATGTGGCCTTTGTCCCCTGAATAATCCAGAGCAATATCATTTGAAATCTCTTCTTCCTCTGTGTCTCTGGATTAAAGGACTGAGACATATGCTGCTTCATTCACAGAGGACTTCCTTTTGATTCACTGGAAGAGGTCGCCATCTGCTGGACGTTTGAAATAATGTAGTAAAGTGTGTTGAAACCAAGTGGTGTTAAGAGTCGGGGGCAGGCTTGCTTATCTGGAAATTCACAACACATAAGTCATCCTGAATTGCTTAGATCATTCTACGTCTTGAGATTGACTCAGAAATGAAAGCTTTGACTCACATTGCTTGTTTTTTGTGTGCATCAGAGAGAAAATGTGTAAACAGGAAAGAAAAACTCTCTCTTTAGACCATTAACAGCCACATTACCTTAATGCTATTTACCACTTACTTCTGTTGTGCATGCAGCGCTTAGTTGTAAATGTTTCACTTGTTTCTTGAAAAGATGCACAGCATTGGAGTTTTTTAATTAGAAAATGAAACACTGACAAGAATAACAAAGATGAGGGGCATCATGCACCAAAGCTGGACTTGAACCAGGGACTCTGGTTGACCCCTCCAAATGAACATGCATTATTTAAAAAAAAAAAAGCAGGGTTAGCACCAGGAGACCCATTTTGGCTCCTATCCTGCCGTGCTGAGATATGATGCTGTTTTAGCTTAATAAAAGCAAAGAGAAACTCTTCTCTGAAAAAAAAAAAACAGCAGCAAAGGCTGAGGAGAGTTGCGCGGGCCCCCCTGTCCTCTCAGGGGAGTCACACCGTGGCCTGAGCGACAGAAAAGAGCTTTGTTGAGAGGTGGCCTTTGGCACAATACTGGTCACCCCGCAGCTTTTACCCCCAAAGATAATCTCTCTCCCTGTCATCACTCTAGCTCCCTCGCTGTTCTGAGAAAAGCAGCGAGTGACGGAAGGAGGAAATGACTAAAGAAACGACTCATTCACACCCATGCAATGACAGCAGGGCAGCCAGAGGGGAAGTCAGACCCACGCTTTTTACTCTCTTCCTGAGTCCTCCACCCCAGACTACTATTATACAGTAGTCTCTTCCACCCTGATAACAATGTAGCCTGTATGTTTATGTGGCATACTAACTGTAAGGTTTAATTTTACATCCACATTTTGGTACAATTTCCTTATTTGCATGAACTTGTAACGGTTGATTCAAACAGAATGAATTGAATTTTTTGTCCTTTTGTTAGTGTTGTTTTTTGTACTTTTCATTTAATGATTGTGCTAATAAAGCCAATTGAAACTAATTGTGCCGCATATTCGAACACAAAAGGTTTCCTCCCATGCTGTAGTGCTTGACACAGGCCAGGACTTGTCCTCTTTCTTTCTCTCTTTCTTTTTCTGTCTCGAAGAAGGGAAGGGCGCCTCACACATTTGACCCCCACCACCACCACCACCACCACACACACATCCATCCGTATATACATACACACTTGCCTGTCGCTCCCCAGCAATGGGGTCAGATGTGGTGACCAATTGAGCCACCCCTCCCTCCCTTCCTCTCTCTCTCTCTCTCTGTCTCTCTCTCTCTCTTCCATCTCCTTCTCAGTTCCTCTCCTCCCCTCCCCTCCCCCAGCTTGCATTGGCAGAGCATGCATGCCTGTGTCTGTTATCTACAAATGGCTGAGGAATTATAGGTTGAGAGGGGAGGAGGAGGAGGAGTGAGGGAGAGTGTGAGAGGGGGGGGGGGGGGGAGAGTGGCGGGGTGGGAGAGAGGGTGAGGTCATGTGACATCGGAGCAGCTGCTAGGTTAAGAATTTCTGTTTTCTCACTTAGAGAGAGAGAGGGAGAGGAGCCAGAGCGAAGAGGGGAGAGATAGGCAGCCAGCGTGTGTGGTGTGTTGCTTTGTTAGATAAGCTCTAAATGTTCTTTGTGAGCAGCAGCACCAGAGACAGGAAGGCAGGGAGGGAGTAAGAGAGAGACGGTGGACGAACAGGCGAGGGGAGAGATAGATAGACAGAGACTGAAAGAGAGAGAGAGAGAAAGAGGAGCAGGAAGATGGTGTGTGTCCTGTCGGTGGCTGCCGGTGTGTGCGGGGCTGGGCTCGACGTGAAGATGCAGCCATGGGGGATCCGGGCGGCTCCACTCCTTTGTGCAGTAAGGAGCTTCAGCCACGCTTTTAATCTATGGGTGTGTGTGTGTGTGTGTGTGTGTGTGTGTGTGTGTGGGGTGGGGGGTGGGGGGGGGTCATGAACCAGAACCAGACCTCCGGATATGTGCCTCTGTGTGTACTTGTCAAGCTGTGTGCTTGTCTGTCTCCTCTTTCACTGTGTTACTCGCATGACTGTCTGTCTGCCCTGTGGTTTTATGTGCGTGGTTGATACGGTCTTTAAATACAGTCTGCTCTTTTTCTGAAGGAAGCTGCAAAAAGTTGCTTGTGCATTTCTTTTACTCTCATCTCTTAAGTCTTTCTGACTTTCTCTAAACAATGACGTGCTGTAGTTTTGCAAAGTCACATTACTCGACCGGACACTTGGTCTGTGTGTTTTTTGCTTGTTTGTGAGTCTCTGAATGGCACTGTGTGTGTTGTTCAGACAATACTCACTGTTGATTCCATTATTAATTGTGTGTCAGGTTCATTCGGAGTGCACTGGGTAACTGGGAGGTTACAAGCGGGACAACTCGGGAGGTGTTGGGAATGTTATTCACTCTCTCATGCCTGACTTGTCGCTGTGTGTGTCCACTGAACACAAACTCACACATTAAAGCACACCGTGCCTGTGCTCTCCTCTCAGAAGGGAATATGATCTTTTTATAGCTCTCCCAGCCTCTGGGGTAAACCCAGATATGACTCCTACTTATCTAATTAAACTATTGATATACTGTAAGTGAGCAGCAGCTTTTATATTGATATGACTCTGTCTGTCATTGTCTTTGCTGGAAGTTTACTGTAAGGATGATTCTGAAAAATCCTGTGTGCGTGTGTCTGCATGTGTGTGAGTGTGTGGGCGTGTGTGCGTGTGTCTGCGTGTGTGTGTTTGTGTGTGTGTCTGCGTGTGTGCGTGCGTGTGTGTGTGTGTGTGCGTGCGTGTGTGTTGCCCAAGAATGTAGGGATATCACACGGCGTTCTTGCATTTAGGGTTTCCACAGAATGAGGGGGTGTCAACAGGGTGTCACCTTTCAACACACACAAACATGCACACACAGGAATACACAGGAAGGAAAGGGACAGCCGTCTCAACCCTTCTCAACCTCAAAACTCTTCCAGCCACCACAGAGCTAATATGGATCAGAAGCCAAAAAGAGTAGACTCCAAAAATGTATAATTTTCAAGCTCAAGTAGTATAATTTTCTAAAATGTACAATTGAGCTGTTTCTATGTTACATGAACAGGGAGGGGGGGGCAGGATTGTCAATATAACCTACCCACAAATGTAGTCACTCTGGTAGTGTTGGAGCATGCTCAGCAGTGTTTTTGTGTAAACCTTTGGCAGACACACAGCCAGACTGAAGCTCTCTGAGCAGAGGGAAAGAGTGACCTAACCTCCTAACCTCTCACCTCTGACCTTAAGCTGTACAACCAAAGCCCCCTCTGCCCCTCACACCACCAATCCCCATTCGCCCCAGCTGTCACACACGGCACCAGACTGTGCCCTGACTGTCTCTGTGTCCATGGAAAGAGCTATGTGCGATTCTCCTTTTGTTTATATTTGTCTATATTAGTCTTTTCATATTTCATATGTGTTATAATGTGAGGCTGAAGGTATTTGAGCTCCTCAAATTCTCTTGACTCAATTCTGTTTTTTGGTTCAGTCATCTCAATGCAGTATTGCTTATGAATTCTTTCCCATTCTCCTCCATTTTGTCTATTTGTAGGCATGAGCCATGAGCCAAAGTCACCATCGTTAGGAATGATCTCTACGGCAACCCGTACCACGGCGACGGTCAGCCCCCTCACCCCGTCGCCCCTCAACGGCTCCATCGTAGCCAATGGAAGCCCGGCCTCCCAGTCTGCTCACTCTGGATTTGCTGCCGCCCTCCGTAAACTGGCTAAACAGGCCGAAGAACCTCGAGGTAAAGCCACACAGGCTGTATGGCAGGAACATGAGCTCAGGGCACTGTCGGGTTAAGCCTGCTGCAGGACTACTTTTAGCTGTATTCCCTTCCCAATATGTACACTCTGGACAATTTCTGCTGATTTGACGCTCTGTGTGGGGAGCTCAAATGCTACCATATTTGCAGATAATTTCAAAATAAACAAATAGGGCTGTTTTCATTTGACTGTTTCTTAATTGATGAGCGTCTGAACAGACAGTATATGGTGAAAGAAATATGTTGAGTATCATTCAGAAAATATTTAAAGGTAAAACAGCTCACTAGCTAACAACAGCTAAAAGCTAGCTAGCTAACATTGGCGTTTAACCACTCTCTCAAGCTAAAATTACAGTTTGATAGTGTTATTAATTCTAAAATTCTGTTGCCACTCTCTTGAAGTAGATCAACTGGAAATGTTAGCTACAGAGCGGTTGTATGCTAACATCATTTCCAATGGCCTAATGGTAGCCCATTGGTTCTCAAATGTTGTTCATACTTGAAAAATGTGCAGATATGTATCTGGATTTCTACCATCAATTGTCTTTTGGGAAGTGGCTTTATATTTGTGAAGATTATTCAAGGAGACAGCCTTACAACATAACTCTTTTGACAACAGCTTCCCTTCATAATAACATTTAAAGACAGACATTTAGAGTCTGACAGCCAGGTTTTTTGCTGAAACATAGTGATTTTATCGAAACAAGATGTCAGTACTATATTCTGTTCCAAACCATAATAGGAGCTGAATGTATCAGTACACCTAGCCTGCTCACCCTTACCTGTAAACCTAATGGATTAGGTGGACCTCCTGTACCCTGTACATTTGTGGTTGTTTATTTGTTTTTTTCTGCTTGTAGGAGGTCTTACAGTTGTATGTGCCATGTTGCATTGCATTGTTTTGAATGGCTAAGTGCAGGATCGCTAATGGCAAAAGGATAATATCAACACAGGATTGAATAATATGCGTTCTGTAGATGCTGGGACAAAGAAGAGCTCCTCTGACTGGCCCACGTGTTGTGCTGTGTGTTTGCATGTCGGCATGTCAGTGTGTGCATGACAGCCCCCCCCCTGTATATTTGTCTATTTGTCAGCGCCTACGCAAATAAACATGTCAAACATTTCCCATCCCTCAGAACTTATCCTAAATTTGTATGACTATTCAATTAGGGAAAATTAGGGAACGTAACACCCGTTAGACATTCTGAACTATCCTTTGAAGGCAGAGACATGGTCGTTTAATCTTTGATTCTTGTTTAATGGTACATGCAAGCTTGGCCTCTAACTTAGCACAGATTTATATGCAAGTGTTCTCAAAATCCATGCACCCAGTGTTTAACACATGATACAAACAACTGACACAGCAGATCCTACATCATGCTGATGGCCTCAGTTGGAAGACTGTTATTGTTGAGTCGATTGAAGGTGTTTGTGCATAAGTATGTGTGGCTCTATATGCTTCCTGTCACAGAGAGGCCCAGCAACCCCAGCTGTCCACCCTTGCTTTGTCTCTTAAATCAGATGCTCCCCTTCTTTCTTGCTGTCCCTGGATACCTTGCTCCCCAGCCCACTGCTGCCCAGGACCCAGAACCCTGCAAATGATTTATTACCAAGAGAGAGGGAGAGAGAGAGCACTCAGCTCCAACCTCACCTCACCTCCCTCTCAATCCGTCTCCCCTTCATCTCTCTTCACTCCTTCAACCCTGCATGCCAGTCCTATTACTTTCTCACACTGTCTCTCTCAAACACAAATCTACTTCCAGAGTTCAGTCCTGCCTTATCATTTCATCCTGGGTCCTTTTTTTATTAGATTTGTATTCTTATCTCTGTTGCCTTTCCTCCTTTTTTTTTGTTAGCAGAAGATGGGGAACTTTAAAGTTTCTTTTTTTTTTAAATCACTTCTCAGTAACTTCTGCTTCAGTATTTTCTTTGTGTTGTGAAGTGAGTGAAGGGCTAATTTGTTTTATTATTTCTAAATTAGATTCTACTGAAACAGAGAGCCCCTGTCTCTGTCTCTGTCACACAAACAGACACCTCATTCCGTCTGATTAATCTCTGCCATTATTTTATTAAAAGCCTGAAAAGCCCCTTATTTAGCCCTCCCTGACTAACTGTGTGTGTGTGTGTGTGTGTGTGTGTGTGTGTGTGTGTGTGTGTGTGTGTGTGTGTGTGTGTGTGTGTGTGTGTGTGTGTGTGTGTGTGTGTGTGTGTGTGTGTGTGTGTGTGTGTGTGTGTGTGTGTGTGTGTGTGTGTGTGTGTGTGTGTGTGTGTGTGTGTGTGTGTCAGGCACAGGGGGCAACTCTGCCCGTGTTAGGAGCACAGGCTCCGGGGTGGGCAGAGAGGCATGCAGCCCCTGGAGCTGCAGTCACCTCTCTGTCTGCAGAGGCTGTATTTATAGGCAACACACACACACCAAGACACCCCCACACATACAAACAGTTGTCTTTGCAACTGGGTAAGCCTCGTGATTTCTTAGCATGCTGAAGCTTGCTGTCCTTTCATTAGCTGCCTTGACTCAGCCTCAGACTCTCTCTCTCTCTCTCTCCCTCTCTCTCTGATTGATGCTGTGAGGTGAGGAGTGCAGTGTACATATGAGGTGCCATGACTCAGTGTCCTAAGGCCTGGAAGAATTAGTTAGGTTTGAGGACTAGTATCACCGCCGCTGGCTGCTGAACTGATTTAAGACCGTGAGCACGGCTGCTGTTTATACAAACACCCACACACCCTTACGCACACACACACACACATGCACACGTACAAACACATACGTCACTTGTCGTTTGTGAGTATAATGAACAGCTCTGTGTGCTGAGCGCTGTGTTGAGGAGGGGAGGTGAGTGATAATGGGTATCTAAGCGGCACACTCTCATCCCTTGCACTCTAAGGATGTAGCGCATGTGCACAATAGATATAACACACTGCCACAAAAAGTCAAGACTGCTGATATTTGATTAATTAGGTAGACCTTGGTTTAATCCTCTCAGTATTTTCTTCATACACACCACCTGAGTGTTATGACTGAGGTCACATCAACTGTAGTACTCTGCCTGGAGAGAGAGCGGGAGAAAAAAGGTGTACAAGATAGATGGAGTGAATTGGCTGGAAAACAGAGGAACAGGAAGTAATTAGTACATTGGTGAAAACCTCAGTGTGTTTGTCTGATTGTTTGTGTGTGTGTGTGTGTGTGTGTGTGTGTGTGTGTGTGTGTGTGTGTGTGTGTGTGTGTGTGTGTGTGTGTGTCTGTGTGGCCGGAGGCTCTCCTTGTTTCTGGGAGCCCAGAGCATGCTGGGACAGCAGGGCAGTGTGTCTATGACCTCTCCATCTGGAGCCTGCCTAGAGCTCACACAGCCTCGCTGAGCTCAGTGTTTGTGTGTGTGCGCGCGTGTGTGTTTCTTGAAGGCAAAACCCTTCAGGCTGTGATTGTCCCTGAAACACATCTTAGCCCCCCCCTCCCCTCTCTCTCCATAACACATCAACATAACACCTATCATGACTCTGTTCAGTAGCAAAGCAGCATTTAAGTATAATATACAGTTTGTAGAGTCAGCAGCAGGCACACCGGATTGCTTCTCTTATTTCCTTCCGCCATCTTGTACCGTCTTTCTTCCCCTTGCTGGCACAGCAACACACACACACTGTGTTCTTCTCCCCTCCCCCCACCCAGTGATGCAGATTACAGGCTTTGTGGTGTGTTGTCAATGCATGGCCAAGACTGTAGTAGCAGGTGTGTGCACTGTTTGTGTGCATGAGTAGTTATTGTGTGTCTGCTAATTCGCGTGTGTGTGTGTATTTGTGTGTGTGTGTATGTGTGTTGGAGTGCACGTGTTGAGGCTTGTGCTGGTGGGGTGGCATATGGATGCAGGGTTGGCTGGGCACTGCTATGCACACCAGGTGTGAAATGGACTGTTTAATTAAGTGCTGATGTTGTTGTAATGCATGCTGGGAGGGAGGTGGGTGGAGGAGGAGGGGTGGGGTTGGGTATGGTGGATATGTTGGCAAGGTGGAGGGGAGCACCTTCTGCCTGGCAGGGCATGGGGCATGCAATGTTCTGCTGTTTTGGCAGAGGATGTGGTAGAGGAAGAGAATTGGTAGGGGCTATTTGGCAACCCTGAAACATTTTTTTGTGGTGTTGTTGTCTTACTATCAAGGCTGTGATCCAGTGGGTTGCACTGCCCTGGCTGCTGGACTCCTTCATTGAGTGAAGAAACCTGCTGAAGATACATGCCACATGCTCCATGGCCTTAGCTTTTGTATTGGGTCAGTAGCTGAACTAAAAGGTGCCGTCCATGAAGGGACACTTGGCCCAAGCCTTAGACTGCAGCTTGGTCGGTTAGTTTGTTCCTGTTGTATGATGCATTTTGTGTGTGTGTGTGTGTGTGTGTGTGTGTGTGTGTGTGTGTGTGTGTGTGTGTGTGTGTGTGTGTGTGTGTGTGTGTGTGTGTGTGTGTGTGTGTGTGTGTGTGTGTGTGTGTGTGTGTGTGTGTGTGTGTGTGTGTGTGTGTGTCTCAGCTTGATCGGTCAAGTGTGGAGGCAGTCTGGGAGAGTGCGACTGGTAATAGAGGAGGCGATAGAGATGGGAGCTTCACATTAATCACACACAGCTTGGGACTGAGACAGCACTTGATTTCTTTTCTCGCTCTTTCCTTCTGTCTCCACCTCTTCTGTCTCTCTTTCCATCTCTGCTATAACCCCCCCCCCATACCCGTCCCCATCACTACACCACACACAGCTAGCAAGTGACAATCAGTGCAGCTAATGAAGTGCAGGTTGAGAGCTGATGAGCCTATTTTAGACTCTGGGGACGAAGGCTGTGTCTCTCTCCTCCTCCTCCTTCTTCTCTGCCTCATCTGGTTCCCTACAGAGCCAGGACGTATGGCTATCTTCTCTCTGTACATATGAAAGAAGGGGGAGGACCATAATGGGGCGAGGAAAATGATTGGTGTGGAAACTGTAGCAGGAGGGTTGAAAATATGACAAGAGAAGGAGAGGAGGGAAGGAAGCTGAAGATGATGAGGAAAAGAGGAGTTGGACGGACGAATGCCTGTGGTGTAAACAGGAAGAGATGGGAAACGTATATGGATGTACACATTCAAATATATAACCACGTTGTCAGATATTCGCCTGTGCTCTAAACGGCTGTAACTATTGTGAATGTGTTTGTGAAAATTGTGCATTCAGTCTGACAGATCTACGTCTGGTAGGCTGGCACTGTGTGTGAAGAACAGAAGGAAAAAGAACTAGGGTGTATGGAGAGGTGGTAGGTGGTTGGTGGTTGCATGGGGTGTTGTTAGAATGGAGGAGGAGGAGGAGGGAATAATACAAGAATAATAGCTGTGTGTGTTTCTTGTGTGTTGAGGAAAGATGTGCACACAGATTTTTTCTTCAAGAAGAGATCAAGGACACTAGACGGCCTTTGTCTCTTTTATTTCCCCCTTTCCCTCACCTGCTTCTCTTCCCACTCTTTTAATTATTAAGTCTGCACTGCCTCTTCTTCAGTCTGCTTTTCCCTCTGCATGGAAAAGGAGGAGATGTGAAGAGATTGGGGTAAGAGGGGAAAAAAGATGGAGTAAAGAAGTGTGTTGCTTAGCAGTTTAGCGCCCCCCCTCGCGTATGTAAGTTGTGTGCGATTGTGTACTAGTGTGTGGTGAGTGAATAGGTTGTGACACTAGAGCTGTATTAAGTGTGGCTCCATTCCCCAGGCTGAGTGGGCTGCTATTGATTGGCCTAGTCTTGCAGGGGAGAGTAATGGCTCTCCGAGGTGAGGGGGGGAGGATTAGGCCACTAATTGCCATTGTGCCGACAAGATATGCCCCACACACACACACACACTGACGCTGTCCCCGCCACCCACTCACCCATCTGCACCCCTTATCTCCCTGCTTTCCTCTCGCTCCATCTCTCGCCTCACCTCGCACCTCTTTTGCACTCGCTCGTTTTGTCTCCCCCCTCTCTCATCATTTTTAGGTGTCACCTCACATGTATCATCACCAACTTTTCCAACAAGCCCTCCCTTTTTTTTCAGCTCCTACCACCACTCGCACGTGGATTTCCAGATTCACATTATTGATTCTTTCCTTTTTTTTGCGGTGTTCATTAGGTTGAGGTGTTTAAAATCAGTTAAAATCATTACCCCACTTACATGGCAAAATCATTGCCACAGAAAAGGAAGAAGGGAAGAAATGGCAGTCGGGTAGGAATCTGTGTTTTTTTTGTTCTGATGGTGATAATTGGAGAGGAAGTAGGCCCGACAATGACATGAGGCTTCAGCTCCCTTTTTTTTTCATTTTATACAGGGCTGCATTTACGCACAGTGATGCACAAAAGCGCACATCTCCTACTGTTCTTGCAGCACCACAAAAGAGTGTCCCATTGAGAGGGTTGTGACCCAGTTTGACTGTGTAATGCTGTGCTCTATCTGAGCGAAGGAGACTTATAGCACACTGAACTGTCAGGAGTAGAAGAAGAAAGGAAACAACAAGACAGCCCACCGCTTAAAACACAAGACAGGGGGAAGAAAAAACGAGGGACAGATGGGGAAAAGAGGATGGACTAATGAGAGAACAGGAAGTGGACAATATGTGAGAAACAGAGTGTAGAGAAATCAGTGATATATGTGATATATATATATGAAAAGGAGTATCATAAGACAGGTTGGACTATATATAGAGAGAAACCAAGATGTGTGGAAAGCATGTGACCAGACCGTGACCCTGCGCTACAGGGTTTCCCTCGAGGGCTTTGTTAATGTGGCACAGCTACAGCGCAGCCGAGAAGCTCATTGGGCCAGCTCTTCACCACCTGCTGTCTGTGTGTGTGTGTGTGTGTGTGTGTGTGTGTGTGTGTGTGTGTGTGTGTGTGTGTGTGTGTGTGTGTGTGTGTGTGTGTGTGTGTGTGTGTGTGTGTGTGTGTGTGTGTGTGTGTGTGTGTGTGTGTGTGTGTGTGTGTGGTTGCTGAGGACAGTGTGTTGCTGCAAGTACCACTGACGGTGTATACATTCAATATAGCTGTTCACTCCTGAGCAGTGTGTTCTTATTTGTTGCGTGTTTGTGTGTCTGTTGAATGTCAAGGCTATATGACTCTCACATGGCTGCTTCTCCTGATCACTGTCACTTTATAATGGGAGCCTAGAGCAATCCATCTGGCCCCATGTGCGTGAAGTGTGAGTACGTGTACGTTGTTTGCAATCTGTTTCCATTGTATTGCCGCAATCCCTTGTAGAAGGCTATACAGAACACCACTGTTGTTACATTTTCCTTTTTATCAATAAAAGCAACAGACATTCTTCATTTCATCATGTTCTGTCATTCCTTTAACATTTTTTTTTTTTATCTCTCTTTTTCCAGCTGCATCTTCCATCAGCAGCGAGTCCTCTCCAGTATCCTCCCCGGCCACCAACCACAGCTCTCCAGTCAGTACGCCCAAGAGGGGTCCCCTCGGTCCAGGGCCTGTCCTGGTTCCCCCCACAGGCCACAGTGTGCCAAACACTCCACCTGTAGTCACCATTGCTCCAACAAAGACTAGCAACGGCCTCTGGAGAACAGAGGGACGCCAGGTAAAGCCACATCTTCAAACACATGCTATTACGTCCTTAAGCACACTCTTTCCTACTGCTCTTTTTTTTTTCTTTTTTAGTGGCTCTCTCGAGTGACTTTTCTGAAATCTCAGATTGTCTCAGATTTTCATACTTTAGCTTGTTTGCTATTACAAACATGCAAACATCAAACTGTTGAAGAATGAACAGAACCAGTAAACTGCCTGTAACACAATCTAGGATGATGGTTTATTCTTGACATATATAACTGTCAGGTTTACAAATGTCTGCTTTCTCTTAGCCCCCTCCTCATTGCTCCATGCATTTAACAATGCCAGCTGCCCCGGGACGTTGAGGTGACAGTATCAACGGCAGCGAACATCTGTGCCCCTCCAGACCCCCCCTCCCACTTGGCCCTCTTGCACTTGGACCAGCCCCGCTTCCCAGTCCCCAACCTTTGCCCCCTAACCCACCCTCAGCTCTACTCCAGCCTCACCCTTTTACCCCCAAGCAGTCAAGTGCATCCTCCTTCGTCACCCCAACACCCTCTCTACTCTGTTATGTAGTGGGGTGGAGTGAAAGAGGGAGAGCTGCTTGCTTTGATAAGGAGTGGATTATGGATTATGGCCTTGCTTTAAGCCATCTTATCTCAGCTCAGGGCTAATAGCCAAATGCATGGTTAGAATCAGCTCTAGAGAACATGCGGAAACTCTCTGAGACACTTTGACAGGTCCCCGGAGTAGGAGAGAGAAGGGGGTATAGTGAAGGGTGAGTGATGAGGAGGTCAGCCAGCTAGCCGGGTGTGGGAGCATTCAGGCCATTGTCCTCTCTCCTGGGTAACCCCGATGACCCTCTCCCGCTGTAGCCATGGCTTTTATGAAATTACCCCTCTGCCGTTAAAGGGTCAAGTAGAGCTAGGAGGGGCCCTAGCGGGACAGGGGACTTTCCCCGATGATGTCATCCTGTTTTCTATTCCTTTGACAGGACTAGTTTGAAAGAGAAAAAAAGATTTAAAAAATGGACAGAAGAACCCTCCAAACCAGTCCAAACTGTTTACACTGTGGTTAGCCTTTGCGTACGTTTGTGTGCATTTGTTTTTTTTATTTTTTTTATTTTTTTTCACTGCAAATGTGTGTGTGTGTGCAAAAGGTCAAGCTGGAATTGAAAAGGTCGTGTCACTGGGTTTGTGGTGCCTCCAGCCGCTTGAGGCCTCCCAGTCAAAGAATGAGGAGGTTAATGGAGGTGATTTAGACAACGGGCTGGTTGGATGAGGGGTAGAGGTTGGGAGAGGACAGAGGCAGGCAGGGATGCGTCACCATAACAGGCGTCCTAGTATGTCCCTTATTTCTGTGGTGACGCTTCAGCAAACGCAATGAGCACAATGAGCCATGGGGCCACACATATATATGTCCCTCCTAAACAAAGATAATAGTGCCTGGAACTTTTTGTCCATTACTAATTGCTGAGCAGTCCTCTGGCACATTGACCCTGCCTGTTTACCCTCGTCTCATACCAGTCTCTTACCCTCCATAGCCCCTCTCACTTGTGACCTTGGGACATTTTCTGAATAATATCAGGATATCCAGGTCCTGATATTTTCCAGAATTGCCTTTTCTACATACCTCCCTCCCGATGGCAGGACATTTCCAAGTGAGCAGTGCATTTGTGAAAAGGAGCTTACATCTTGAAATATGTTTATGAAACATTGACACGAGCAGCCAAAAGACCATAAATGAAGATTTAACAAAAATTAAAACTGAGGCTTCAGGATCCCCTGTAAAGCATCCAAAATGTGTTGCTGTGTGTGGCCATGTACTGTGTCCTGCTTTATGTGTTTTAGAATTGTTGATAATTGTCTCCCTGGCTGAGATATAAGTCCGTCTTTCAGAGCGGGGTGAGAGGCACAGCAGCAAAGGAGGGAGGGCTTGGAGGGAGGGCTTGGTGCGTTGGCATTTTGCTTTAATGACTGCAGGAGTCTGCTCCCGCTGCTGCCTGTAATTGCTTTTTAATTGGCAATTTGGATTCATGGCTCCATCTGAGAGGCGTAAACGAGCGCTGTACAATGCACGGGGTCTCCCACCCTTGCTGAGGGGGGGGGTTACAGGGGCCCAGCTCACACAGAGGAAGATGGCTGTTAATGGATGTGTCTTTGAAGCAGAATGCTTGTATTGGTGCTCTGTGTACTGTGTATATGGCATGATGCCTGTGAATAGTGTGCTTGAGAATAGAAAGCTGTTTTTTTTTGGCAGGGTTAAGGATCAAAATGGAACGGCTGGTTGCATTTGTGGGTGTCTGAGTGACTGCGGGACTCTCTAATGGGGCTGGAAGACTCTGTCTTTGTGTTGTGTGCACTTCTGCAAGGTGCTAACCTAGACACCCACACCTTTTGTAGGGTTTTTAGGTGCATCCACACATACATGCACAGACATTCACAAAGATGAAGTAAGCTCAGGCAGAAAAGCTACACAAACAGCATGGGAGACACATGTGCCCATTCTAATTTATTTACAGATTTCCTCTTCTTTTTTTTTTTAGTTGAAATCTGCAGCATTACCACCATGCTTTGTTGTCTTACAGGCATTCCCTTTCCATCCTCTTATTAAAGAAATTCTGTGAAATTTGTGGGGATGGATCAGTTGATTCAATTTGAGTGGTTTTCTGTGTCCACTGACCACTTGACAGTTTTTGAGTCATTGCGGTGATTATGAAACCATACCACTGTCACAAACAAACTGTGTATGACGCAGGATAATTGACACAGGTTCAACCCACATTTGATTCATATCAACTACTTTGGAAAATAACACATAATCACGATGAAATGCTGAAAATAGTTATTGGAACTGATCATACAGCCATAGAGAGTAAATTCAAACTGGTTTCAGATTCATTGGATGCATGCGCAGATACTAGGATGATTCTTACTTGCATAATTTCATTTTGTTAACAAGATTCTCGTGTTGATGTCATGAAAACTGGTCAGTGTAGTGCTGTTTGGATAAACTAAGGCATAATTAGTTTACTTGCTCACTTTCAGTTACACAGCTTAATTAACCATACAATTGTTTGGAGAGGGGTGTGATGTCTTTGTCAGCGCACACTGTTTGGGGGAAGGTTGTTTTATAACTCATCTGTATTGACTTTATTAAGGTTAAGAGTTTTTCATAGTAAGGGGCGTGGCTTATCTGACTGAAGGACGGATGGACTTGTTGTTACTGTTTGTCAGGAGGTTTTAGGCCTGCCTCAGATCCAGCTCTTTGTATGATTGTAGGTTGACCGAAGGGTCATTTTGAGACAGCATTTCCAAAATGGCGCCACACCGGCTTCAAAAGTCCGGTAGAGAAACCAATGGGTGATGTCACTAAGATTATGTCCTTGTATATACAGTCAATGTATGGATATAAAGGGAATCCAGCATGTTGGCAGGTCTGATGCTCTTTGCTTTAGTGATGACTCTGGTTGAAGTCAGCTAAACCACTTCAACCAGATGAATGACATGATATATCAGGATGCTGCTCACTATTCACACAAATTAATAAATGCATCAACCTGTAGCATCAGTGATATCAGAAAAGCAATTATGAGCTTTTTTGAACAAAAATGACTTCTTCACCAAAGCTGTCATTGTGATTGTTGCAATTTGTTAACTGACAGAAAATGAGGTGGAAAGAGCAGGTCTTCTTGTTTTTTCACCCAGCAACATGCATTGTTCACCAGTACCTCTAGATGAACATCTTGATTATGCTTGGGACTGCAGAAACTATAGTCACAGTACTACTGAACATGACTTTGTGTGCATTTAACTTTGGGTTATGAAAGATATTTGAATAAGTGTGGGCCCTCTTGCTTGCAACAAATATCATAAGGGCTTTAACTAACACTTAAAGACAGCCACAGATAAGCTTTTTGTCATATTGTAAAAACATGGCAGATAAAGAAAAAAAAAAACCTTGCCGCTCCACGCCACCATCTGATATTGACTTATTTTGACATGTATGAACATCTTTTCAGTTGGCTGCTGATTGGGAGGGCATGCGCATAAAGCGCTAAAAGGATGGAAGAGATGTGTGTGTGGGGGGGGGGGTTTACTGGGACGGAGGTTTAAGGGAGCAGAGTGCCTTAGTGTTTAGCCAAGCGCAACAAATAACATCCAGCAAACAGTAAAACCAAACTACTGGAAGGTTGGGCCGCCAAAGGGAAACAAAAGGGGGGTGGGGAGTCTAAACATTAGAGGCATTTAAGATTGGATGTTTGCACATCAGTGTCAGCCTGGGTCAGTGGCTGCAAAGCAGGGCGGGGAGGTAATAGCTCCCTAAATTGGATTTATGTTATCAAAAGCAGTGTGTGAGAGGGGATAGTACTACTGGAGTGTCCCTGATAGTCTCAGGGAGCCAAGAGGTTAATTTAGAGGGGCAGGAACTGCATTTTCCTCTTGCACCTACTTTCTCATGTCTTGTATCTTCATCTCTATGATTCCTTTCTCTCTTCTTTTCATTCTTGTTAGTAGTTCCCTAACCAACTTTAACTTGAAGTCTTGTTTCGCGAGAGATGAGAAAACCTTTCCATCATACCTGTGAAAATCCTGCTCAACTGTAGATCCCTCCATAAACAATTTCCTCGTACAGAAAAGGTTCTAAGTTTCTCTGTTCTGTGATTGCATTTGTAGGCAAGGGGGAAACCAAAGCTTCAGAAAATGTTCTCCCACTCCCACAGCAGGGTGTCTTTGTAGCTCAGAAACAGTGTGTGTGTTTGCAGACAGTGTTTGTGTGTTAGTCGTCAGATTGGATAAGTGAGACCAGGCTTGCTGCCAAAGGGAGAGAGGGAGGTGAAAGAAAAGACAGAAGAAAGAAAAAGAGAAACAGAGGCAGAGGGATGTTGCTTGTCGGACTTTGTTGTCTTCCCTGTAGATGTTTAAGTTCTGTGCACGCTCTTTGCCAGGATCAAAGTCATCTGTAGAAGCCCCATTGTTGTACATCCAGCTCTACCACATCATCATCGATCTTAAGGATGACACCTCTTGTTTACAATTAGAGAAAAATAGTCAGGCCGCGTCTTTACCACTCTCTGCCTGCGATATTTTCCATTTCACCATAAATTCCCCCGAGAGAATTGTTGATCTGTCTATTTTTACTGGGAATGGGTTTATGTGAGGCAGTAGATAAAAGTGCCTGAGGTAGGAAGCGAGTGTGAGGGAGGCTGCCGCAGCATCAACAGGCCTATTCTTTCTCATTCTCTCCCCCATCTCTCCGCTCACAGGACGGGCTCTATGAGTACTGACAACCATGACGGTCACAGGTCCTCCTGAACAATGACTAAGACATTCTCTTTCTCTGTCTCCTCGCCAGGCTGACTCGGGTCCTCGTGGGGCCAGCAGGGAACGTCTGGGTGCAGAGGGGGGCCTCCCCCAGGAGAAAGGTGGCCCCTCAGTCCCTGCACACCTCCTGGGAAACCCCTATGCCTTTGGTCTCTCCCCCGGCGCTGTCATGCAGGATTCTCGTTTCCAACCACTTAAGTGAGTCACAAACTGAATGTTTCCCTGGATGCACAGAGGAATCCTATTTTTAATGTACTGTAAAGGGTTTTCCTACTTAATGTAGGATGTATCAGTCAATATTAGATAGTCAGACAATATTACGTGTTTATTTGGGCCTGTCACACATAAGTCCATGTTTGAGTAAATGTTTAAGGAAATGCACGATACATAAGCCTTTTTTAAAGTGAATATTCAGTGCAAACATTATTATAAAACTGATGGAGAAATAGTGTTAATGCTTTAGAGATATTGGACTGCTGGACTCCACTGGGTAGTTTCCTCTACTGTCGAGTGTACAATACTCTAAGACATGTATCAAGCACACGTGGCAGAACACCACAGCTGAGCAGACGGTGGGTCATAGAAGTTGGTAAACAGTATATTATGTTAAGTTTCCTGACATCAAGAAGTGTAATGTTGAATTTCAACTTCTTTATTTACTGTATCTGCAATCAGCATCAGTCCCAAAAAAAACCCTTATCAGTCCAGCTCTAGTCTCTAAAATGCTTGTATATAAGTGCATTATCAATAATTCACAGCTTTGTAAAACTCAAAGGAATAAGCAGCTGCTGCAAACATTTGTTTTGTTGGCTGTGCTGCTGAGAAATAATGAGAATTCATAGTTTCTTGGTGCAAATGGGTTATTGTGCATACGTTGGAAGAGTGGAAAAAAACACAAATAAAACATCTAACTCTGCCTTTTGTTCCCCTATCATTGTCTTTCCTCAAAGTCTGCCTAGACAGCTGCCGCCCGGACCAGTACCAGAAGAGTACCTCCGCGGTTTCCGGCCCTATGCCACGTCTGAGGATGCCCTCCGCATGCCCTCTTTGCCCTTGGGCCTGGACCCTGCCACTGCAGCTGCTGCGGCTGCCTACTACCACCCCAGCTACCTGCCCCACCCTTCCTTCACGCCATACAGGTAAGCGTCTTGCATTCATTTGTTTTGTTTACTTGGCACAGATTTCCTTTGAGAGCATTTTGTGCGAACCAATGCCTTTGACTGAACTAAATGTTTGCATTGCTAATACTCGGCACTAAACGCATTAGTGTATAGCTGACCTTGGATTCATGCATTCCCAGAGGTAAAAACATTTTGTGTTGATGTTTTTATTTCTAGATTAACTTTAGGGAACACTAAAGGGAAAACAGAGTTGATAGGATATGTGACTGAAACAAATGGAAGTTAAATTTAAAAAATGTGTTTTGTAAACAAAAAACAAAGTAACACTCACAGATAGAAAAATTAGCAAACTCACAGTGTCAACATGGGCAGGTAGAGTGTCTGATGATGATTAAGTATCACCTAAAAATAAAATGTTTATACTGAGCATAGGGACTTTATTTAATTGAATGCACCAACACTTTATAAACTGCCTCCTCTGACAGTCTGCTACTAAGACACCTCAAGATTCAAGATTGTTTTAATTTGTCACATGCTCATACAGATGGGCAGTGAAATGTAATGACTGTTCCTCAAGGCTAAGCAAATAAAAACACTCAAAACATTACTCTAAAGATACATGTACTACTACTGTACTTACTACTTTTATATACTGTAAAATGAAGATTTAAAAAAGGGAAAAAAATATAGATGTACAAAAATGTAGAAAGCTATAACGGATATAGAAGTGTGCAGTGTGAAGTGTCAAAGTGTAACATTCTGTTTTAAAATATCCTGCTCAGCCATGTTGTAGTGCCATTTCTTAAAAGATGGATTTAAAAATAGATGTACATCCCTTTTTGTGCCGAAGCATGCAGTTAGGTCATATATAACCTCCAGAGGTGCAGTAATGAAGGTGTTTGTTGAGTTGCAGTTCTGCATAGAATAAAAAGAAGCACCATGCTTAATTAAGATTTTCAAATGTCGACTCCTCGACATAGACTTTTTCATTTGTCTTTACCCAAACTGGGATTAATATCAAAAATAGGCCTTTAACTCAACAAATCTCGAGCCTTTGCATGCTTCCTTTTTAAATAATTACTATAGAAGCATCACTGAAAGATGTTATACAGCTGTGATGGGAGAGACATGTCCTGCTTACCACTGTGGTTTTTATCAACTTTTGTAAAAGGAAATGAAGGTTTTATTTATTTTTTTTGGTTTTTCATGTTTCTTAAAGTGACAGCTCTGATCATTCAGAGGAAACACAAGCAGCAAGAAATATTAGTGCAGTGTGTGTTAAAAATACATTAATTTTTAAACACATAGGATCATATGGACTGAGTATGTGCTGCTTGCTTTGGGCTATCACACAGGCTGCATGCCCTGGTCTGTCAACACAGCAAGATCAGAGGACTGCAGCACCCATCACACAGTGCGATGTAATGGATTTAATGAGGGGATGAGCAGTGGATGTCACACACACATACACAAAAAACACATCAGCACACAGCATAGCCTTTTGCTTTGCTAGGTTAGCTGACAGACTCTGATGCTTCCTTGAAAGATTGAGGACTCTGTGATGTTGCGCGCAGGTTAATGAAAGTGAATGCTGCACTGTCACACGGGGGGACTGACTCTCTCTCTCTCTTTGTCCTTTTTTTTTTCTTTTATCCTATTGCAATCTGTCTCTCACAGGATGGACGACCCGTTCTGCCTCTCTGCTTTGAGGTCACCTTTCTATTCGCTGCCAGCAGGGGGAGCTTTACCCCCCATGCATCCCTCTGCTGTTCACATGCACCTACCAGGGGTCCGTTACCCTGGGGATTTTACACACCCTTCACTGTCAGCACTGCAGTCCGAGAGGTAAAGTCAGCTTATTTCAAACATCATACTATCAAAAGTAGTGGCATTGAGTACATCTTAGTGGTGTGCTGTTATTTTGTATCATCTTTTCCAATTTAAATGACATCTCCTTTCTACTCCTGCTTCCTTGTCCACTTTTCCTTTTTTTAGGCTTCAGCTGGAGGATGAGCTGCGGCAGAGAGAGAGGGGAGCGTGAACGGGAGCGTGAAAAGGAGAGAGAGCGGGAGGCTGAGAGAGAGAAGGAGCGGGAGAGAGAACGAGAGCGGGAGAGGGAGAGAGAAAAGGAGCTGGAAAGGGAGAGAGAGCGCGAGCGGGAGAGAGAGCGTGAGCGGGAACGAGAGAAGGAGAGGGAGAGAGAGAAAGAGCTGGAAAGACAGAAGGAGAGAGCACTGAGGGAAAAGGAGCTGCAGGCATCCAAGGCCATGGAGAGCCACTATCTGGCTGAGATCCATGCCATGAGGGGGCAAGAGGATAGAACCAAGCCTGAGAGACTCACCCCCGAATCGGGCTGGTATGTGTCGTGCTGCCCCTGTAGCTTTCTTAAGCTACAGCCATACTATTTGTCAACACATGTTCCTTAAAAACAGGGGTGTCCAAAGTGCAGCCCGAGGGCCATTTGCGGCCCTTGAGGGGATTTTTTGCGGCCCGTGACTTCAAATGAAGAATCAGAAGATTTTGGCCCGAGGCCTTGATTAAGATTGGCACATTATCTTATTTTTCTTTTTCATGTTAACAAGGGTTGAACAATATTCCTAAAATAGAAAATGTTCAGTAACTTGTATGTTGTTGTTTTTTTTAAATATACAGCTTTTACTATTTTCCAAATTCTTTTGTAAACTATGAAAAAAAACGTTTTTGCAAACAAGTGGACTGTTGTTTAACCATTTAATGACCTGAGCTAAATGCAGAAAGCTCTTCCAAAGACATGAACCACTACAGGCTTGATTCTGAGAAAAAAAACAAATAAAGTAGAATGAAGAAATCAAAATATTTGATTTGCTTTTATTAAAGGGTTTCTTTAGCAAGCCTTTTGATTCTGATCTACAAAGCCTTACTATTTTTTCAACTATATTTAAAAAAAAAAAAACCTGTGGCCTGCGAGCGATTCTAACACGACAATTTTGGCCCGCAAGAAAAAAAGTTTGGACACCACTGCTTGAAACAAATGATATTCATTACAGCAGAAAAATAGATACCTTGATAGAGCTAAAAATGTATTTGCTCACGTTCATGATAAGTGTTATGTAATTTGCTAGCCTTATTGCTTAAAGCTCACTTCCCTTTTTTGTACCCTTCTTTGATAATAACATCAATATTTTAAGCCACACAGCTAAAGACATTTGAAACTGCTGAGGAAAATGTTTACTTTTTCTGACGAAGAAAATATTGCGAAGTTAAGAAGATAGCTGTTCAATAAAAATGATCTTTACTTGCAGCTCTAATGTCAAAATGTTGTGCTCCCCTGGCAGATAAAACCAAAGAGCCCGTCCCTCCAGCTCCTAAACCAGTCCCGCCTGGGCTCCACTCTGCAATGGTCCAACAACATCATCCCGTCCCTGGTCTAATCTCCGGCCACGGCCTCTACATGGGGCCCAACGCTGTAGGGGCAGGGCTCTCAGCCTCACTGCTCGCTCAGAGGGCCAATGAGGAAGAGAGGTGGTTGGCACGTCAACGCAAGCTTAGACAAGAGAAAGAGGACCGTCAGTACCAGGTGTCTGAGTTCCGCCAGCAGGTTCTGGAGCAGCACCTGGACCTGGGTCGACCAGGTGACACAGCAGATCACAGGCCAGACTCACACAGGTAAAAGAACATTCTAGGCAACATTTGCAGGAATTTTAAACCCACCTCCGTTTCTCATTTCATGCCATGGTAGTATTTATTTCTACATAACCTGAAATAAGCAATTCTAGTGTTATCTGATAGAGACAAGCAGTTCTGGGGTCTCTATGACACTACAACAAATGCATGCTCTCAGTGCAAACACTATTTTTGGGATGTTTGGCTGCCTCTGCTAGCCTAACAGGGACAGTTGTGCTGTGTTTTTGAAGCCTCAGAAGCTGGCAAGCTTTAGAAGTTTGTTTTCAGGCAGGACAGGAAAAAAGATAAACCCTGTCAGAAGCATCACGTCGACTCTATTTCTGTCCAAGCCTCCTTCTAGGCCTGACATGTAGGCAAACAGGCGGCTATGTTTAGGTTTGATGCAGGGTGTAAAGAGAGGTCCTGATGACTGCTGTTTCATAAGTAGTTTTCAGGGGTTTCAAACAGGCTGCGAGTTGGACAGCTAAGATACACAAAGGCTAATTCTCGGCTAATCCTCTCAACCTTGCACAGCATAAGCTCCCTGCTTACCCTCCTTTGTTGCTGTGCCTGTGCCTGTGTTTGTGTTGTTGTGTTTAATTCCAAAGTGAGGTTGTGGTTAATGCTGAACTGGTAGGACAGGAGAGATACACACACGTCCGCTATCAGTAACCCTATGGTATAATCGGCCAATCACAGCTCACAGGCTGCAGATTGAAGATAACAGACACATTTACTTGCTTACACACACACACTGATGCAAACACAAACAGGAAGGCACAGATAATCTGACTGGACATGCAGTGTTTCCTCATGCCAGGGTTGATTTGAAAAGACATTAAGACAGCGTCCCATCATCAATCTGCCTTTCTATTCCTCCTCACTGTTGCTATTTGCTGACACCGTCATTATCCCCTTTGAAGTCTCTCTTTTTTAATATTCTCTGCACATCTATTTTTGTCACTTCAATAGAATATTGTTAATCTATCTTTTCCATACCTTCCCTACGTCATTCATTGCCTCTCGGCCTGCCTGTCTGTCAGGTGAACATTTCTCCTGGCCTTCCTTTAGTAGAAGCTCTCTGAACTTCCTCCTTTCCCCTGTGCATGTTTGTGTGTGTGTGCTTGTGTGCCACACTACAAGGACCCAGCAGATCAAAAACAGGCCTGTATATCTGGAGGACATTGTGTGCCTTGGCCACATCCTCACTCTGCTCTGGGCTACCCTGTCTGGGCTTGATAACACTGCATTGCCAAACACAACACACGCACACGCACACGCACACGCACACACAGACATACTGACAGGGATGAAGGGAAATTGGCAAGTCTCATAGCACTGCTGTGTTTTTTGTCGCATGTGAGATTGGAGACTCAGTAAATCATTTGAAGGGAATTGCTCTGTATTTTAAAAGATAAAAATGGCCCCTCTTTGATTGTATCTTGGCAGATCAATACCAAATCACCATGAACCAGGAAGCCGGGACCTACACCCTCAACTGGGCGCACCTCCACCCCTCATATCCCCCAAACCTCCTCAGCCCCTGCGTGACCACCACCCTCCACCTCCCACCACCCTGTGGAACCCTGCATCTCTCATAGAAACAACCTCAGAGTCCAGACGTAACCACGAGCCCTCAGGGATGGGACACTATGAGCTTGGTCGACTGCCCCCGGGGCCCTCCAAGTATGAGGATGTCGCACGGCGGAGAGATGGGGCAGCCATGGAGAAGTATCCCCCTCTAAGAGGCCCTCCAGGCCTGCCTGAGCCCAGCACGTTTCTTGCTGATCTGGAGAAATCCACTCAGAGCTTCTTCAGCCAGCAGAGGGCGTCGCTGTCCCTGACTAGTCAGTATGATTTGGAGGGAGCTGTGAAAAGAGGAGACGCTGGACCAAAGAGCCTGCAGGGACACCCAGGACACAGTAGACATGGACAAGGACTAGGACTGGCCACTGGGTCAGGGATAGGACAGGTAGCCACACTGGGGATGGGTCCGGACACAAAACTGATCTACGATGAGTTCCTGCAGCAGCACAGACGGCCGGTCAGCAAGCTGGACCTGGAAGAGAAGAGGAGAAGGGAGGCCAGGGAGAAAGGTACACACCATAAGCACACTGTGGGACAGCACCTGATAACATCCCTCGTATATGCTCTAAAAAAGTCTCAAATTTGACCCAACTCAGAGTTGTGTTCAGTCAAACACCATTATGAGTTCAATACAAAACTTGAATTGTTGTTTTAACTATATCATTTGAAATAAAAAAAACATTTTAGTCACTTTGTGAGATTAAGTTAAAAGGGCCAGATCTCAAATTCCACTGAGGAAGGTTGTAGAAACTGCTTTATTTACTGTTTGTACTAGTCTCACAGTGCTGGGTCAATTTTAGTGGATATCTAAGGATCAATAGAACATTTCTTAACATGGTGTAAATTGTTCTGCCACTAAATCCCGTGCAGAGTCTCAGTGAATCGAAGGCATTGTTTAATAGTGTGTGAATGTGGTATTAAGAGCCGCTGTAGAAATTGGAAGACAATTCATTCTTTTAAAATGTGTTTTTACAAAAGAAATGTGGGCTGACTTTCACACAGAAACTGGTCATGAATTTTGATAAATGATTTAATCTCACATCAGCTGTTGGCTGGGTATAAAATCAATTCTAAACTCAACATTTTCAATGTTACAGCCTGATATATTCTATTACAGAGCTCTTTGTTTAGTCTAAAAATTCAAGATGTAGTTAGCTGCTGAGGAGTAAAGTAAGTTATGAGTTCCCTTTTTTTTGCTGATCCAAAAAAAACAATCAGATTCCAGACCAATATGTGTTATTTGATCTGAACTGTGAGATCTGTAATCCGTTGCACTACTAGTCAATTATTCCTGGACAAACCGCTTGTTAGCTATGATCACTGGAGGAATTCTGACCTCAAACAATCTGCTTACAGCCACTCTTGATGTCCTTGCTCAGCCAAGAGGAGTGTAAATGCTAAATGGATTTGGACTTTTATAGCGCTTTTCTAGTCTTCTGATTATCAAAATGGCTGTTTACACTACAGGTCCCATTCACCCATTCTCACACTGATAGCAGAGGGTTTGATGTAAAGTGCACATAAAACCCTCGACCTTCCAGTTGAGGGTCTTGGTCTTCTCTTGTGATTATTTGATGCTTAACTTCCAGTGGGCAGCACTAGAAAATCATTGACTTCGTCTTATATGATTAAACCATCGCACTGATTTGACTTAGAAATGGGGCGTCATTAATAACCACTTTGTCTGCTGCAGGTTACTACTATGAGCTGGATGACTCATATGATGAGAGTGATGAGGAGGAGGTGAGAGCACATCTCAGGAGAGTGGCAGAGCAGCCACCACTCAAATTGGATGACTCGACAGAGGTAACACACTTAACAGCACATACGCTTTCTGTCCTCTCCTTTATGGAGATACACAGACGAACTGATGAGTGAAAAATATAGTTCTGAGATCTTTTTTTTTTCCCATCTCGTCACAGAAACTGGGCTTCCTAGGCGTGTTTGGCCTCACCACTGTTGGTCGGCGGGAGGAGCTGGTGCATCAGAAGAGAAGGAAGAGGAGGAGGATGCTCAGGGAGCGAAGCCCATCACCGCCTGCCTCGCAATCCAAACGCACTCCTCCTCCTCCTCCCCCTCCCCACCTCAGCACACGCTTCACTCCAGAGGAGATGGACAAAGCTCCAGAGCTGGAGGATAAGAAGCGGTTCCTCACAATGTTCAGACTGTCCCACGTCACTGTGCAGCAGAGGAGAGGTAAGGAACTTAAACATGGATCCAAAACAATGAGGCAGATAAGCCATTACATAGTTTTTGTATTTACTGCATTTCCACTGCAGGAACTTTCATGGGGACTTGGGTCTCTTTAAGGTACTCGGTGTGTTTCCTAGGCAGGGATTTATTATTGAAGTCCTACAGAATTTATTCTACTCACAAAAAGGTCCCTGCCTTGGGTATAGTATTTTTTCAAAAGTACAGGGATCCTTTAGGCTGGATCCTGCAACACTAAACATTTCTGATTGGTGGAATACAAGTGTTGCACCTTTTTTCTTTTTTTTTACACATCAAATTATTTACATATTCTTCATGGTTCGACCCAAACATCAATGGGCTGGAGGAACCTGTAAATCCCTTTAAAAAGCCCTAGTTACCGTTTGTAGAAATTACAGCTTTAGTCATGTTCAAAGCCACTCTAAGAACCCGTTGATTGTTTACCAAGTGTGTTTTTAATCATGTTTCAAGTAATTAATTAGTGTGAGACTTAACTGTGTACAACAACACCAATTAGCTTTTCTTTTCATTAAATAAACCATGGCTCCTCTCCTTCCAGAAAGCTTCAATTGTAATATATCACAATTTAGTGAAAGATTATTTTGAACATTGAGAAGCACTTTTGACATTTTCCAGACACACATCAATTGCTCCAGGAAGCTACTTAGAAACCACTGCATCACAGAGCTGACCCAGTCCCCTTTACATGGCACAGAAACATCCTCATCAATTACTCATATCATGTCTCCTGACTTTGACATCTCATTTGAGCAGAACAAAGAAGAAGACTGATTGCACGCTCGTTTAGCTATTAGAAAGCAGTAGTCATCCTCAGTCGGCTCTAAATCCTGCTGACGCTTCACTTTAGCCGGGCCCTGCCTGCTTTAAATGCGCCGTCTGCTCATTAACATGTTGACTCGAGCCTGGAAGGGAATCATACAGGGGTCAAACAATGAACATGTCTGCCTTAAACCTCTATATTATATTCAGCATATATTAAACCCTGTTTGCATAATGTATAGCTTTACAGTGCTAGTCCTAGTTAGCAGAGTAGACTACTGTCAAGGTCCTGTCTCTAGACACTTAAACACACACACACACACACACACACACACACACACACACACACACACACACACACACACACACACACACACACACACACACACACACACACACTCACACTCACACTCACTGACTGGAATTGGGAGTGGCAGCAGTGGGCTTACAGTGATCCTCGTCTAATCCTCTTGATTTACTGTTTGCTGCCTACAGATGGCAACGCACAGCCTCCCACACTCCATCTTCTTACACACAAAGACACACATGACCGCACACGCATGCACGCACACACACACACACACACACACACACACACACACACACACACACACATAAATGAGGAAAATAGGTGCGAAATAGTGAATATGATGCACACACCTAGGACTAATTGGTAAGAGATTCACTAGTCATGTTTGTTTTCTCTGTCTCTTAGATAATGAAAGGGTAGTGGAGCTCCTTCAGGCCATTAAAGAAAAGAGCGTAACCTTGGATACTATCAGGCATGCCCCTCAGCCGCTGTGTAAGAGCCCTCAAGCACATCTCTCTGGTGAGACACAAGCCAAAGAACATAAACATGCACACTTTAGTATGAGGTTAGAGTTGTATTTAGTCATTTTGATGCTGTATGGTCATGCTTCTACACGTTCCTATTGCAGCCCTTCATCTGTAGTAATGTTGACCTCATCAGGACTAACACATGTTCAAATGATTACAGATTCTACATTAGCACCGCCTCCCTCTGAATCAGAAGACCATCACAGTGTCAGGCCACACAGCCCCTCCTCACAGTGCCCGGCATCCCCCAATGGCCATCCAAAACCCCTCGGGGAAACATTAAGACCAAAGGAACCCCCCTCTCCAGCTGTCTACCCAGACAAGGCTCGGGGGCCCAGTGAGGGGCCGATCTCTAAGAGGAGCTCCAGTCTGCTGAACAGCTTGCGGCCCCCGCTCCCCCTGCAGGCGAAGGATGGGCTTCACAGCGTCAATGGACGCACCAAACCTTGGGACAGCTTCACCCCGGAGGAATTTGCCCAGCAGTTCCATGAATCTGTGCTTCAGTCCACCCAGAAAGCTCTGCAGAAACACAAAGGTAAGCTGTAAAAGAAGGTTGGTCTGACTTTGACTAATAAGACTGAGGGAAGACAAACTTATCAATGAGGTTTCTCTATTGTAATTACCTAATCACAAAACATCAGGACATAGTTGAAATTGATCAATAGGGGTTTCCTCTTTAATTTAACCACCACTCCAAAATGTAAAAATTAGCTAATCTGCACATCTACACCATCAAACTGTATTTATATTTTAAATAATACATTTAAAAATATGACCAATCTTTCATGGAAATATAGACTTTTACAGACAGGTCGATCAGTAAAGTAAAAATGCAACTTTAAATGTGAAGATTAACTTTGTTTCTTGTACTTCTGTGATGATAAGACGGTTGTACAAAGAAACTCAATGTAAAGATTTCTAATGGACATTTCAGTTTTTCATATTTCATATTCCTGAAACTAAGACCCTGTCTGTTAAAACTCCACATTCAAAAGCCAAAAGACATGCACACAACATACCAAACATCTCCCATCTCTTCTTTTAACATTTCTGCTTTTCTAAAGATATATTCTAAGTATAAAAACAACGTTACTGCATATCTTTGGCTTTTTCATTTTAGCATGCTGTTAATATGAACACTAATACAGTTAATTGTTTAAAAAAAAAAAAAAAAACTCTGTCTTTCTTATTGCCTGACAAAAGAAAAATACATTGAAGAAAATAAATCTGCAGTTTAATCCATAGGTGAGATAGTCATTTTTTGTGAACACGTTTTGACTCCCCCCCCCCTTCCTCCTTCCTTCTCTCCAATCCTGTCCTGTAGGTGGAGCTGCGGGAATGTCGGAGTCGTCTCACCTCCAGGAGTCGTCTGTTCACTACAACATTCCAGAGCTTCAGAGTGCTCCCGGCAGACCACCACAACCTCATTCACAGTCTCACACAAACACACATTCATTTCCACATCCACTGTCACACTCTCACTCTCAGCCCAACGGGCAGCACTTCTCTGTACAACACCACCGGGAGGCCTCTGGGACGAGGGAGGACCTGTCGGGCCCAGATGACTCTGAAGAGGAGGAGGAGGAGGAGGAAGAGGAGGCTCCTGCTTCAAAGTGGCAGGGGATTGAATCTATATTTGAAGCATATCAGGAATATGTTGAAGGTAAGCATGCTTCCATTATTCTGCTCAAATGTCAATGATTGCTTATTGTATGACTTGAATACTACAAAGTATTATTACATCATCTCCCATAGAGATGATGTAATAATACTTTGTAGTACTTTATTGTCCTCTTGGGGATATGTGTCTGACATACCAATGCTGCACACATTTAGAAGCCTCTACAGTAGAATCAATAAAAATGCACAAAAGAAAGAAAGAAACAACAATCCACATGTAAACAAGAAGAATATACCAATGCAAAACACAAACAATATATATTGCACATCACCCATATTGCACAAGATCTGCATAAAAAATACAACACAAGAGGAGAAAAGTATAAGAACACCATGACACTATTGTACAACCCTTAAGAAATATTAAGTTTTGATGAGGTTTTGACATCTCTGTAAATCTATACCTCTGTTTATTGGTAGATTTATTCCTTGAAACTTGTGTGATGAGATTCAAGGAGAAATGTACACTCAACATTTGTTCAGTAATAAAACAGAAGAAGAAACCATGAGTTTGTTTTTCACAGTTGTTGTATCCTTCTCTTGTCACTAGAGGGTGTTATTTATCCATCATCTGTCAAATGTAGTTACGTACATGCAGATTCATGTGTCATTAGGTTTTGTATCACAATAAATGCAAAATAGCCAAAACATGTCAATCTAGGTGTTTAATTTATATTTCTATATTATCCTCGTAGTATAGCTGTTAAGAAGTCACAAGTCACAAGCTCATCTTCTTTTCTTCTTTTTCCCCAATTTGATGTTCTTCATTAGAGCAAAGTTTGGAGCGACAAGTGTTGCAGAGTCATTGTCGAAGACTAGAAGCTCAGAACTACAACCTCAGTCTGACTGCCGAGCAGCTATCTCACAGCATGGGGGTAAGATACACACTTTCTCTAAGCCCGAGTTTTTTCATATCTTCCTCCGACTTATTTTGTTCATCCATTTCATTGTCAAACTGACATCCTTGACAGGGAGACTTTACCTCTAGAAAAGTGATTCAAATATTTGTGCCGTTTGTGAATGAATGACATCCATCCAAAGAATAATCTCTTTCTTTATCGTGCACACATTATGTTTTTTCCTGTATTCCCCCCCCCCTCTTGTTCCAATGTCAGATAACTTCCTCCTTGTTGCCCTGATTAATCATGTCTTCCCTCTCGTCTCCACCGGTTCTGTAGGAGCTGATGTCCCAGCGACAGAAGCTCGCGATGGAAAGGGAGAAGCTACAAGCAGAGCTGGAGCACTTCAGGAAGTGTTTGACACTGCCTCAGACACACTGGCCAAGAGGTGGCCATTACAAGGGCTACCCTCCCAGGTGACCCCGACACGCCCACCTGTGGACCCTAGGCCCGGCCCAGCTCCCCTTTCAGACTTAAACCCAGAGTTTATTTTTCACAGCCCTGTCCACATGGCTCCATTGAGTAGAACATGGCTGGCTGGAAAAGATGAATGAGTGAATAAATGAATGAGTTGAGTGAATGGATAGATGGATGATGCAGGACCATACAGTGAAGGACGGGCAGTCTTTTGGCCAGCCAGGGACTGTGCCTCGAGTCAAGAAAGTGTGCCAATGTAGCCAACCCCAAGATCAGGCCAGGAGCACCTGAAGATCAACCCAAGCACACACAAAGAAACACACATGCACCTGCTTTACACTGCGTCTTCAGTCCCTGCTGCTCTGCTGTTCGCTCCCCTGCTTCCCTCACCGCCACAGCTACACAGACAATCCTGCCAATGAGGGAGCAGCCGCCCCACCAGAGGACAAGAGACTTGAACGCTCCAAAGGCTTCTGGCCAGTTGGGACTGAGTTTGTCGCAGTGGACACTTGAGCTTTTTGAACTGGAAATGCACTTATGTATAAAAGCTGAAGAACTACCTGGTGGTACTGTGTTGCAACAAAGAACTGTTCAAATTAGGGAAGAACTTAGAAAATGCACATTTTTGGAAAGAATTAAGGAAATGTTTTATTTGGAAATAGAAAATTTGAGAATAAGAATTTTAAAAGGTGCTTCAGCCTTGTATTGTACATAATATGAAAACTTAAAAGAATTTTGTATGTTTTTATTACTTTAATCATTTTTCTTTTAAAAGAAAAAAAGCCTGCCATTTTTATATGTTTATGCTTTTTTGGGGTCGGAAAAGAAAGCCTTGCTTTTAGTGTTTGTACTGCTGCTGGCCAGAACAGCTCATTTTGAGACATTTATCAGAGTAAGAGGACAAAACAGGAAAACACACTCCGCCTTTTACTCCCTCCCAACCCATCCACAGCCACCGCATATGGCATCTGGAATCAGCAATGTTCACCCAGAGGTCCTGAAACACAGATTCTGCCCCCTCACCCTCTGCCATCACAGTAACACGTGTCTCTGTGTGAATGCCTATTTGAAAAACCCTCTGCTCAGATTCACCACGCCTGGCATGAAAGGTTTGCTCATTATTATGCAGAAACCAGATGAATTCCACAGTGACTTTTTTTTTTTTGTATTGTGTTTATTTACTTTGACATACTTGAGATGATTCTTTTGTAAAGACATGAAGAGTCTATTAAGCAGCCAGATGATGGATCTGGTTCTTGATGCTTCATCCTCCATTGGACCTGTCACTTGACTTTTTTCTCTTTTTGAAATGGACTATAACAATATGAAGGTTTGCATGATGTTACGCCTTACATGCTCAAGCCCGTTTTAGCAGCCATTAGAGGAGACGGTGCCAAAATGAAAAACTGCAGCATTTGGATTTTTAATTGAGATTATGTTGCAATAAGACAGCCAAAAATTCACACCAGAACGGCCATCTTCCTCTGCTGAAACCCAATTTGAAGACTAGCATTAAACAAAGTTGCCAACATTTTACAAATCACACAAATTGAATGCTCAAACTGAGCATTTCTAAGAAGCTATTAATCAGTAGAAGTTTCATTTACCTGGCCTCATACGTGTTTACAATCTCTGCCTGCCCTTCATCCTCCTCTTCAGATCTGTAAGACACCATTTTTACACTGATAGTCTACCCTGTAGCTCATGTTGCCTCAGCTTCAAGGTGGTATTTGCATTTGGAGACTTCCCCAAAAGCGCTCTAAAAGATGTATAGCATGGTTAAATGAGAGGGTTTTACCCTGATTGCACAGGGTTTGGTGGAATGGTTCATGTGAACATGTGGGAGATTTCAAAGAAGTTAAATTAAAGCTAATTGACTTTGAAAATGTGCATAAAGTTTCTTTATGGAAAAAAACTGAAGCACAACCAGCCCTACAAACAGTTCAGTGATTACAAGTGCCTCAGAGATTTGGGAATGACTGTAGTCTACATGTTGGGATAGTCTACACTTAGCATCAGTGATCAGGGACTTAGCATTTTCAAGTGTCTAATGTATGTCTCACACCTTTTGAATATGTGCATGTCCAGAACCCACACAGAGCTCCTTTTATCTGAAAGCATCTCCCAGATTCAATTCACTAGGCCCAAACCAGTTCAGACGATCAGGTGTATCCAGAGCGTAGTCTGTCATTCTTACAGAGCAGAATTAGTGCAGCCTGTCAGTTAATGAGGGGGTCCGCATGCTGAGGTAAGCTGCCAACAACCAGAGGTGGGAGGTCCAGTACAGCAAGCCCCTTAACTCTGCCTCCCTGTGTCTCTCCAGCCCACGCACGCTCATGCAATAGCCCCATTACTCAGTGGAGGATGTCTAGATGCTGTGAAATCCTGTTTTTAAAATGTACTTGTTTGAATTCATTGTAATGTAATATATTCTTTGTTGAATGTAGTAATTAGGTATTTATGAATATATGGCTGTGATTTCAGACAAAAAAGAAATAAAATATTTCAAAAATGTAAAGTATCCACTATTGTCTTTTTATGGGTTCTGCTCCACTGAAATCTTAAATCTATCAAGTACAGCAACAAAAATGATAGTCTCAGATCCCTCCTGACATTTAGTCCTCAATATGATCAAAGCTTTAAAGGTGCACTATGGAGTTTTGGTGGAGAAATGTGTACATTATATATGTTCATAACTCTATACACAAACTGTCCTCAGAGGGACATTTGGTCCCTGTAACACTGTTTGAAGATTAACTGATTAACGAGAAGTTACGGTGGTGGGCCGCAACAATGAAAGTGTAACTCTCCTGGTAGCTTTTTAGCTCCAGTGATCCAGGGACCCATTGTTTCCTTTGAATAAAGTTTGTGTATTTAGTTCAGAAAATAAAGCATAGAATTGTTGCACTTCCCCAACTTTAACATTTCACTACCGATTCTATATAGTGCAACTTTAATTATATGAACCTGTCATTTGGTTGGATTATATTTTGTAGTGTGTGGGCATTCTTCCACAGCAGAACTTGGAGCTTTAGCATAAAGTTTTGATGTTCAGAATGAGTGAAATGCAGAGCAAATGTTCCCTGAGGGCTGAAATTTGTAGACAGTGGTACAGAACATAACTTCAGGAAGAAAAGAGTACAGAAAGTGCCACTTCTTCTGACTACAGCAGCATTACTTTGAAACTGAATGAAATAACTTTGCCTATATGATTTTAAGTGATTCCCCAATGCTAAAGTGAACATTTTATATTCAGAAGCTATTCTACCTCAAACTGACTCACATCGTTGTTCATTTGTTGTCAATCTGCTAATCACACAGCTGATGAACCGCTTCAGCTCTAAAACAAACATTGTAATAAGTCTACTGTAACCACGCATCACACTGGCAAAAGATTTGAATATGCTGACGTAATCAAAAAGTGTAACAGACAAACCTCTCTCACACAAATACATTTTATTTTTTCACTTATTACAAAACCTGTCAGCTTTACATATTTAGAAGACTAGACAAATATAAACACTAGATGTTTTTCATATGCACACAGAAAAAATGCAAACTTCTTAAAAAGGCAGAGTAAAACTTAAGCTTGCTTAAATCACACACGAGAACAAAATCTTCTGGATGTAAAAAGTCTTGTCTGACGAGTAAGAACACACCTCAGTCTAGGATATATCCACACCTATTGATCTCTTGTATCAATAGTCTGTGAACTGTGCTTTACTTGAACCAGGCTGCAGATTGGATCGTAGTTTGAACATGCAGTTCAGCGAATCGAGGAGGAACGATCTTATGGTGTTGATCTCCATCAGAGTGAGGTTGTCCAGCTACAGAGAGAAGGAGTTGTGCTCAGTTTTAAAAAGGAAAACATCAAGTTTCATTCATAACACAAAGCTCAGTAACACAGTGATAGGGCCACAGGACAAAGTGTTAATGACAACTCATTATGCAAGAAGAAGTTGTGAACTTGGTTATGAATCCTGTTGATTAAGGTTCACGTTCAATTTCAATACAACCCGCAGTGGCTATTTGAAATTTGACTGTTACAAGGATACAGCTTTGTTGCCAATATTAAACTATCTATATCTGGATTGTTGGTTAATCTGGAGATTAAGATAACACTAAATAATTGCATAAATAGTAAATATGAGATAGTAAAATGAAAGCACCATAGCCCCTTGACAAGAAAACACCTTCATATTACATAATTTAATTTACTTTCAGAGCTGAGCAAATATCCATATTTAGGGAGAAAGAACTGTTGATTTTTTTTGGCACATATTTTTTTTTTTTTAAATGCAGGATTCATTAAATTAATGTATTATTAGTTAACTTTCTGAATAATGCTGGACTACCTGTAATTGTTTCAGTCTGCAATATCCCATTTACAGTTTTGGGAAACTCATACATAATACTCATTAGTCTCACCTTGGCATGAGCTTCCATCTGACTGATGAAACTGTCGGCAGAGAGGCGGAGTTTGGCGATACGAGTGTCCCAGATGTCTTTGACCAGTGTGCGGATCTCATCTGCTTTAGGGATGTTATCAGATGCACTACAGAGACACACACACACACACACCATCATGTCAGATAGAGAACTACACAGACTGTAAGAGAGCTTTTGGTTTAAAAGAAACACCATATGACCTACTAGTTGAGCAGTAGTTTGGTCAGCTCCATGTAGTATGGACAGGGGGCAGGCGTAAAAGTATCTTCTCTCCTCTCAAGATCTCGCATCTCCTCCAGCTTCTCTGCACAGAATCAACCGTAGGCATGTTTAAAACATTTGAAGATGCTGGCACACCTCTATATCATACTGATCAAACAGATACTTCTGTGCACACAAAGCTTATTGAATTCTGTTATAACATACCAAAAGGCAATGACTAACCTGTTTCTGCATTAAAATGAACATGAAATCATGCAAACAGCCCTGCTGCTTGAGTACAAATTAGGGCAGTTCAAAATAGTAAACAAAACATGACTTGACTCCAAATCTAGGTGATATTAACTAAAACAAGAACTTTACTTTGCTAACAGGGGTGTGAAGTAGGTTTAGCTTTTAAACTTTTAGAACTGCTTAATCACAGTCCAGTTATCAGAAAACCTGCTGAGTGGTGGGAAGTGCTCACACAAAGAACATATAGAAAACGTGTTTTATTATGTTGGTTAAATGTGTTAAAAGATTCTCTTCATGTGATGCTTTGTAATATCTCACCAACATCCATCCACTCTGGGGGAACAATTCTACATTTCTGTCTTTGCTTCAGGTTTAAAGCGAGCCACACAGGGACTTCCACTGGCAGTCCAGGGTTGAAGGGACCCAGGTCACCCTGAGGGGAAGAAACACATCACAGGTGACACACTGCAGAGCACCAGGGCAACTGACTGTAAAGTAGGTAGAAAACCTGACATTTCAATGTATTCATCAATAGACTGTGAGGTTTGGCTAACGTTTACTTTTGGACAAACATAACTTGTGTGTCGAGAGTGATCAGGATATTCAATATTAGCCCTTTACACGTACACAAAGTATCGTCATTGCAATATAAATCACTTACACCGATTAAATAAATCTTATCTAGGCTGAAGTTCGGTATAATCTTCACCGTCTCCTTCTCGGCGAGAAACTCAACCTCCGAGGGATCCATAGCCTTCTGTGTTTTAAAGTTATTTTGTTTCCACTGTTGTTTTCTCTCTTACGTCCACACTGCCTGTATTTCCCGCGCTGCCGGTTGTACGTCACGACGCTTACAGCGTAGGATAAGACAGCAGCGTCGTCATCAACAGGAAGTGAAGCCTAGTTGGCTTGTTTCTTATTTTATTATTAGATCTATTTCGGTTTATTTGCATGAATATCCATCAGTGTGGTGTATCTAAATCGTTAGATGACGTATAACTTGAAGGTTTACTGACGTGAGAGAAGCCGGTAGTTGTGACAACACTGACAAATCCTGTTTTGTTTTGTCCTGGTCGAAAGGAAGAAGTGAGTCATGTGACAACAATAACAATAGCAGTGAAGTGCCACTAGATGGCAACCTTCACCAAGTTTTAAAAAAAAACATCCCTGCAGTACTGCTAACATAAACACACTCCTGGCACTAATGTAGTTTGTTTCATTATTCCCTGCTATGTTTTCCTCAAGTTGAATTTTTACAAAATTAGCTCAGTTGTAAAAGCATCTTATTTCCAAAACAGAGCGATACACTTTTATAGAGTAATACTTTTTGATGTCTAATTAGGGTTTTGATTTTTGATGAGTAAAAGTCACAATTGTAATGACAGTTGGCAGTGGGATGAGCAACATAGCATTTAATACACTTAACATAAGTTTTCGATGCACAATTCTTAATATTAAATTTGATTCTCAACTAGAGCTGTCAGATATGCGTGAAAACTGAAATGTAGTGGATCTAAAATAGTATATAATGACTATGGTTATAGACACAACGCGCTGATCTAAGAGGTGTGTCAAAGGTGATTGAACTTGGAAACCAACAACATCAATCCAAATATTATTACCGCCCCTGAAACAATCGGTAGCAAAGTTGATGGACAAAATAAAACTAAGTTTGTAGCCTGAACACTGTTCTTTATTATGTTGTATTTATTTTCCATCAAACAAGAGGTAATGACTTGAATTCAAGGAAAGCTGTGATGGTGTAACTTTTGAATGCTTTTTATTACCAGTGTAAAAAATAACCTGCTGATGAATCTAAAATGAAAATCATTTCATTAATCTTGTATGAGGATTTATTTTTAATGGCATTTCTGTACAGGGCTAGTAGCAGTGAAGCAATCGCTGAAAGCCACATTCTGAAACAGTTCAATAATAATGAATAGTCCACAGCGACAAATAACCTTGAATGACTGAATGATAGAAGTTTTCTACAGATGCCAGATGCCAAAAAAAGAAGAAAAAAAAAAATCTTCAGGATATGAAGAAATACTACTTTTCTTGGTGATGAAATCTAAGTTGCAATGGGATTTTCATTTTGGGTGAAATGTGAAAGTCGTCATGGCAAAGTCCCGACATTTACAATAAGAGGCAGTGCTGCAGATTATGAACCTGAACATTTAAAAAAGGCCAAATGAGGAAAAATGAATTGACTGTTAAAAATTGTTGCTGTGCTTTGCAATAACATGCATTTAAATGACAGCTTTCTTATGAAATCTTATCAGGAAATTGCATCTGGAGCAATGCTTGGGGGTTAGGAAGGCTCTTAATTTTCTTTGTTGGTTTTTTATTAAGAAATCAAATCTAATGTATCTGCAGTTGCTGTTGTTTTGTCTATAGTTGTGATTTCACACCATGTGAATGAAAAATCCATACACATTTACGTATTTGTTTTCTTTAAAATAAACTTTTATATTATAGTTTCTGAGCAGTTTTCAGTTCCCAATGTCCCTGTTATACATTACTCATGTGTTATCAAGGACATTTTACGTACCTGTTAGGGTCGTAACTAAACCAGGAATAAAAGAAAACGCTTCAGCACTTGAGCTGGAGTGAGTT